GTGGTATTTTTGTTGCACACTCCATTAAGGGCCACTTTAACATTATTGTGCTGTTAAAACTTTTTGTTGTTACTGTGGTACTAGTAATAAGTTGTTACCAAAAGTATGAAGGTGTTTGGTAAATATTTTTACAAAACTGTCGTGAGTACCAGAGGTAGAAATTTAAATGTTTGGTAGAAATTTAAGTGTTTAGTAAATTGTGTATAAAATTATTGTTAAAATGTATAATGATGAAAATAGATTAGTTTATCATATATGTTTATAGTTAGTTTTATTTCTATTTTTATGATCAATATTCATAATATAAAAATATAATATTTATTATTGTTATTTTTAGTATTTTGATCATTATTGAAAACATAAGATTTTCAATTTTTAAATAACTATTTTAAAAATCTATATTTTTAAATTTGGTATAAAAAATAAAATAGTTATATTAAGAATTAAGTTTTATTAATAAGGTTATCTTAGTAAATTTGGATAATAACAGCAGAAGCTGTTGTGCAAAAATAACTCCTAGCATGTTTCTCAAATTATGCTGTTTGACAGTAGTATTTAGAAGCTGCTCGACAAAAGTAAAATTTACCAAACACTCTAACATGTTATAACCTCTTTAAAAGAGCTAAAATAAGTCTCTAAAAGCAATGTCAAATGAGTCTTAGATATTAGAAAATGGCGTTACAATAACTTTTTCAGAATGGAAAAGTCAATCTAGTAATTTCTTTAAATTTATCCTCTTATGGGGGGCAGTACGAGTTATATTTAAAAATTTTCAATAGTATGTGATCCATACCAAAAAAAAAAAAAAGGTACTAATTTGTGTGCTAGCCAAGTAAATTAGAATGCAAAGATCATTAACATCCTAAAATATGTTATTAGCAAGCGTCTTCAACATTACCATTAAACCATATGAAGTATGAACCAACAGAAGTCTAAGGGGGGCACACGATTCAGATTAGAGATGACATTTTCACACTATTAGTACATTAAAAAAAAAAAGAGTATTCTAGCAGTATGGTCCTTGATTTTTTTTTTTTTGATAGATTAGTCCATCAATTTACTTATTTTTTTGCAATCTCCACTCCTAACAATCACTACAAGAATAATCACTTTAAGAGACCAAATTTTTTGATACAAAAAAATTTTTAGTAGTAGAAAACACACTTTTTGCTACCAAACTTTGGTAGCTGAAAGTATCAAGGCTTTAGTTACCAAATTTGATAGCAAAAACAACACAATCCGCTACCAAATATAATTTGGTAATAAATAACATGACAGGAAATGAAATTTGGTTCCTGCTAATAGCTTTTTGCTACTAAAATAATATTTAGTAACAAAAGCATAAGATTCTGCCACTAAAAATTTGGTAGCAAAATATTACTTTTTTGCTACCAAACATGTTTTGGTAACAAAAAGTTGGCGGGAAGCAAAATTTTTTCCCGCCCGAGGTATTTGCTACCTAATTATTTTTGGTAGCAAAACATATAACATTTGCTAGTAAGTGTTGGAAGCAAAATATAACTATCTGCCACCAAAATTTGTTAGCGAAAAATCAAGTTTTTGCTACCAAAAAACATAATTTTTTGCTACCAATTTTTGGTAGCAGAAAACAAGAATTTGCTACCAAATTCTTATTTTGGTGACAAAAAGGCATTTTTTGCTACTAAAAGTTGTGTTTGGTAGCAAATCATATAAAAACATTAATATTTATATTTTGTGCTTGTATTGCTTTTTTTTTTTTTCAATTTTCTATGAATATGTCCTATATTAAGTTTTAACAATCATCCTAGTATATTTTGTATAACAATTATTTGATAATTTAGTTATTTTGTGTAGGTGTAACAAGAAATATGTTCATGTGTACACATATGTGATCTTGTTAATTATGTCCACATATAGTATATAATCTCACTATTTGATTGATTTTTAACTTTGAATAATGTATTTCAATTTCAAAACTACATTTTTTGTTATAATGTTATTAGAATAATGATTCTAAAATAATTTTTGACATTAAAATGTTATTTTTTTAATTTTTAATATACGTCTTTCTGGTACCAAATTCATATTTGGATAGACGGAACTGCATATATTTCATTTGGATGGTGGGTGAGTGAGTTTATAACATTTTGAACCGAAATAACTAGAACTCATTGACAGTTATCCCAATTAAGAATTATGTTGTGCTCCAACTATCACTGTTTTTGAAATAACCTCCTTTCAAATTTACTTCACCAGGATATAATATATTAGTCTTACCTGTCACCAATCTTGCCATGCTTTTTAGGTTGGTGCAATCATTCTATATACATATGTATTTCAAATGTTGGAAACGCCTCCTGAAGGATCCTTTGATTTTTTTTACACTATTCTACGTTTAACCTCCTTTGTAAACAGCATGGTCAACAAATATTCGAGGACCAACTACATGTTAAGGAATTAATAAGTTAGTGTCCAACAAAGGAAAGCTTCAAGTACAATACATTGAATCAGATGATTGGGAGTGGATGTGCACCAATTGCTTTGGTGATGATCAATAGCAAGTAAAATGAACAACTTAACTGTATTATGAGACATTTGTTTGAGAATGTGATTTTAGATATGCAAATTGGGTGGCTCAAGATCTATAGTTTAACATTTGGAGGAAGTTCATGTAATTAACTTTCACTCACTTAAGTATATTACCACTTGAAATCATAATTTCTTTTTTCTTTTTAACTGACTAACAAATAATAATTTCTATATAGAACACACATTCGAGTTCTAACTCAAATGCTTCGGGAGGGTACTTTGAGGTCTTCAAGAATACTCATTGGAGCAAATCACATAGATGGACAACTGAGAGAGCAAAGGAAGATTATGTAAGGATTACTAAACACTTTATCATTTCGTTTGATTTTGTATTTTTTTTTTTACTCTAACTTGAAAGTGTATAACACTTTGCCTAATGCAGGAACAAATGATCAAGATCCGCGATGCTTGTTTAAGTGAAGTACCAGAGGGGTTGACTCTGATGCAAAGGAAGAAATTTACTCTCAAGTTTTGTCAAGTGAGAGGTATGAAAAATATGGTTTCAAGCGTGGCTTAGGTCTTGTACTAAGAAAAGCGTCACAAGCTCGCAATCTAGAGGGTCGGGATATGAAAAGCTTGAAAATGAAGTTCAGAAAAACAAACGTCGTATGTCGAATATGAAAATTCTAATGAAGCAACAACAGGAGCTTATTCAAAAGCTACTTCAACAGATAAATTCGCCGTCAGATCATCCTGGACCTTCCATCCCAAGAAAAGAAGATCCTCCGCCACCGCTACTACCGGTCTCAGTTTGTTAGAGCGTTTAATTTTTGTAATATTAAGATTTTACTAGTACAATATTTGTATAAGTGTTTGGATTTGCTTAAGTATGACTAGTGTTTTGTTTGGATTCTAATATGTATTGAAATATTTAGAGATTTTTAAATTCATATATAGTATTTTATTTATATATTTTTTTTAAAAATACAGGTATATAAATCTGTCTCAGTTTTGGTGACCAAAAAAATTTGGCAGCAACAAATTAGTTATTTGCTACTTAACATTTTACTACAAAAAATTTGGTCTTTAAATCTCATATTTTTCTCTACCAAATACCTTTTGCTACCGAATATTTGGTCTCCAAATCTCATACATTTCGCTACTAAATACAATTTGATACTAAATATTTGATCCCTAAATCTCATGGATTTTGCTACCAAATACCTTTTGTTACCAATATTTGGTTACTAGATCGCATACTTTTTACTACCAAATATATTTTACTACTAAAATTTCAGGTTCCTAAAGCTCACACTTTTTGCTACCAAAAGCCTATTGCTACCGAAATTTTTAGTCCCCAAATATCATACATTTTGCTATCAAATACATTTTGTTACCAAAAAAATTTTTGGTAGCAAAAACTATTTACTACCAAAATTTTGGTAACTAATACTTCCTGCTACCCACTTTCTACTATTCAAATTCTTGTAGTGAATAAAATTTAGGATGGATTGGATTATTATAATTTGAAACCGTGCATACGCAATTATAAATGTTTTCTTCAACGCCCTTGAAATTCCTTGAAAATCATAACATTTTGCAGTCCATGTTAATATTTTGGTGAAATTCCATGTCACTATGCGATTGGCACACGTCAATAAAGTATATTTTCATTTATTGACACGTTGAGATTAGTTTGTACAGAATTATATAGAGACGCATTACACTCAGAAATCCTAAAATCAAGTCCTACAATCAAGCCTAATATTCTGTTCACACCTATTTTACAACTGTGTAATCCCAGATCAGGAAAGAATTAAATATGAGAGACTATAAGAATTACTAATAATATCAACAGTACGTTCCGTTAAATTATTTGCAAAAGTCTTTACAAGTTTAAGGTTAGAGACCAAAATTGTCAACACATCAAAAAGTGTTCATAAATTTTAAGGTTAGAGACCAAAATTGTTAAACATATTAAATTCAGAAACTACTCAGGTAAAAAAAAGTTCGAGACCAAATAATGACTTCTTAAGAAATTCAAAGACCAATAATGCCAACAGCCTAAATACAAATTTACTTCATAAATTGAATCACTAAAACAAATAACAATTCTTGATCGGCTTTAAATTGAATCACTAAAACAAATAACCATTCTTGATCGGCTTACACAGTTCTATGGAATAAAAATCAAGAAAGAGTCAAAAGAAAAGGCCAACTAATGTACACATTCTTTAATAGTCTCTTCTATGACAATAATAACACATTTCTCTCCAGGACAATAGTGCAGGAACTAGTATTCAATTAAATCACTGATCATATTCCCTAAATCTCTCATTCTAAATTACCATTTCTAAGAAACGAAAGAAAAAAATCCATTTGCATGTGCCTTTACTATTGAAATTATTTTACAAGTTGTGAAAATGAACCAAAATGCATCTACACATCCAAACTGCCAAATTCAAACCTAGCAATTATATCTAGAGCTTATAAATCAACCATATGCACATTTAGGCCTAAGATTAAGATTGTGAAACCTCACCATCTCTAACCTTGGCATCACTTTTCTCCTCACCAAAAACCACCTTATTTCCTCCAACTTCAACATCATGTTGACCACAAGGCATACACCTTTGGCACTTCCTCTTGACCCACCCCAAAAAGCCACCACCAATCTCGATCCTCTCCAATGGAGCCCCCGCCTTGCGGCGGTTGTACTTGTGACCGAAATAGCACGATAGAACTGCCAACACCGTCAACACCGAGATCACCGCGAAAAAGGGGCCTATGGAACCGGAAGAAGCGGAAGCAGAATCCCCTCCAGAAGCACTTCCTGGAACTGCTTCATTAGGATTTGGCAAAGCACTTTCCCCTACTGAAGGTGGTTGTTGATTAGGCAATGTTGTTGCCATATTGGATATTCTTGAATTTGTGTTTAGGCCAAAAAGAAGCGAATTAGATAGGAATTTATAGAATTTCTGTAAAGTATTTAATTCAAATATAAAGTTTTGTATAAGGGAATTTAATAAGTGCTTTTTTCTTTTCTTTTAAGGGCTTCTAGGCACTTTTAGTACGTGCATGAGTGGAAGACAACATGTAAAGGGCTAAAGCATACGTATACACATAGTAAATTTATTTTATGCTACAGCCATTCAATATGCACAGCCTCAAGATAAAGTAATTAGAACTACTTTTCCCTTTTACGTGTTAAAGTAAATCCTGCCCATGTGCATGAGTGGTATAGAGCTTTAATTCTTTAATTCATTTGTGGATCGAATTTCCTTTTGATCATAAATATTGTTTGCATATTCGATCTTTTTGTTTTGGGTTGAGGAAGATATGTAGCCACCTATATTCTTAAACTTAGGGACAAAGTTTATAAAGATTTTTTTTTTTTTGCTAAAAGTTAAAAATACGCCTCTCTGATTTTTTTCCTCCGAAACTGATGAAAACTAGGGAATTTCCCCCCCCCCACTTATACATGGTATCACTAGTAGTGCATGATATCACCAACTCTAATTTCGTTCAATTACATTTTACTAATATTATATAACCAGTATTGTTCTTCTAACATTCATGCGGGTAGAAAAAAATAAGTATGGTTGGTATCATAAAAAATAAAAAAATAAAAAAATAAAAAAGTAGAGAGAGAGAGAGAGAAATGTATCACACTTAACTTAGCTCTTTGGTTTGATGTTATTCTCACAATTTTGCCCCTTGGGTTTGACGTGATTTGGTGGAGGGCATTTTGATCCAAAAAGGTTACAGAGGACATAAAGTTATTATGATGAAAACAACAGAAAAGTTATGGCAAAAGGAAAAATGTGACTCGTTAGCGAAAGGAAAAACTCAATGCAATTGCTTAGAGTTCATAGAATCTCCCGCTTCTCGTTAAGTATGCTTGGATGGGACCTCCAAAAGCTTTCTTCAATTATATTGCAATGTCTTGCCACAACTTTCTTTGGAGAAGTTTCTGTAGATAATTCTTCCTCGTGTTTCAAAACATTATCCTCCTGCATAAACAAGCAAAGACAATACATTGAGCAGCTGAATTAAAACCAACTCTTTTTTTATTTTTTATTTTATTTTTTTGCTGAATAAAACCAACTCCTCCTGATTCCAGGACGGAGCCGCCAAAATCTGCAAGATACTGTATCTCAATTTTCACAGTGCTTTTCAAGTCTTTAGAAAAGCTGTTTTCAAAGTTCTGAAAGAAATTCATTCCAGTAAGTAGTAACCACAATGTTCCATGACGCTCAAAGAATGAGAACATTTGGTGTAGGCAATCTGATAACGTTGCGATGATATTGTATTAAATCTTGAGACCAAACAAACTATAATGAGCATAATGTTTAACTCTACGACGAGGTCTAGAACCTAATGAACATGGAATTTCAAATTAGACTACTCTGGTGCCTCTTCATCACCTTCGCATATTGTTGATAAGTGGAGGCAGGTTCTTTGATGTTGTCTTTCTTTTCCCAAAATAGACAACAACAACAAGCCTCAATCCCAAAATAGACAATAATACAAAATAAAAATAAAATAAAATAACTTGGAAACACAAACTTCCATCTAACAAAATGGTAAATAGCTACCCCAAGGAGTCCATAATCATAGTAAGAACCTAATCTGACTCAATTCTTCATGTGCACGCTGTTATAATCCTTGGGTAGAGCTCATCCCCAAAAGCTAACTTGTAGGGAGTGGGTGCCCAAGTGGTTATAAACCCACATGCTAAGCCCATACTTTAGCAATATGGGACTCAACCACGATCCTAACATACCACTACGCTTCCGACACCGACGTCCACGGCGGCCCACTCTGGATGGCCCACTCTGGCCTTTCCAGGTCGCCCCTTCCGCAACGTGGACCTGAGGAGGAGCATGCTCTGATACCAATTCTTATAACCCTTGGGTAGAACTCATCCCCAAAAACTAGCTTGTAGGGAGAGGGTGCCCAAGTGGTTATAAACCCACATGCTAAGCCCATACTTTAACAATGTGGGACTCAACCAGGATCCTAACACACGCCTCATCTAATAGTAAATGCAGGACTCTAGTAAATATTGCATTGACAAATGATAATAAAGTGAGAAATATATATTGGGGCTCCCAAACAGAGAGAAAAGTAACCTTGTCCCAGAAGACGGAGGAACCCTGGCGGAACATTACTGGTAATGTGTTGTAGTCAAGGATACCAAATTGTTTAAGCAATTCATTTTTCTCTGCCGATTGAGTACCCTGAGAAATAAGATATGAACAATATCATGGGAACATATCCTATCAGCATATAATCAATTTCAGATGAAATCTAAGACGTAATAACATATATCACAAAATGTATAGCAGCGAATAAAAAACATGGCAAAAGTTCACTTGAGAGGAAGACAGAAAGCAACCAGAAGTTATAACTAACATATATCAGTCCGCCCTCAGAGCAAAACCACAAATAATTATGATTCAGCAATTTTTCTCCAAGATTGCTAAATGATTATTTTAGTAGAATCCCGAGAGCACAAAGAACCAATGTGACAGAAAGTTGACTATTTAGCGACATGTACATTCTGATAGGGTACAAGTGAAAGACTGATGTGAATGAGAAATTTTCAGAAATTCCAAGGGGAACAAATGATGTTAACGGGAACATTCCATGGGGGAAGTCCCCTCCTATGGTTTGATGATTGCTTTTTCACTTTTCTACAAAATTTTATTATACACGTAAGCCACATCTATGGAAGTAAGCAGCATGCCCCAGCAATGAGGTACAACAAAGCTAGCTGTTTAAATTAAAATAAAACATGCATCAGGAAGCCCAAGCACAACCATATGAGTATACATTGAAATAAGCAAGTCCAATAAAAATGAAGAAAGAATCCTGAGAAAGACAACTCCACCAAATATCAAGTAACATGTCTTGTACCTTTAAGTAGTGCTGAGCTTCACTTTTGCCTTTTCCAGACTTAACAAGCTCCCAGAAACAAGTATTATATTGGTTATTGATGTGGCCTGAGGAACCAAAAAACATTATCCTGAATTTAGAACCTTATCCTAAATAAATACGAACTTCAAACGTCACCAATGTAATGCTGGCAGAAGTAATTAGCTTGTATTTTTGTTACTGTTAAATACCCCAAGGTTCTCAAAGAAAAATATCAAATACTCACAATCAACTTGTCTCCATGCCAGATAGTCCCGAAGAATTTCAGAAGACGGGTAGCACACAGCACGTCCATCAAAAGAAGGCAGGTACTTTAACTCTTTCTGCTGGAAAAATTCTTGCCAGTTGATCACATACATCGAAGCGAAGAATGACGCAACAGTGGTTACTATGTCACTGCAAAATGGATTGCAAAATTCAAATGTTAAAGGTTATAATGATAAACAGCAATGGGAAAAAGAAAGAAAGATACCATGACTAAAATCTATTTTGAAGAATGTACTTTAAAATAATAATAATAATAATAATAATAATAATAATAATAATAATAATAATAATAATAATAATAATAATCTTACAAATGGAGGGCTTAAGCAAAAGCTAAGATCAAGGAGACTTTCAAAATCCTAAACTAGTAAATTCCATAATTCCATTAATAAAGTAATATAAGAAAAATGAAGAGAAACCTTGCTCGTCTTTGATAAAACTGAGAATCCTTCTTCACGATGAAGCTGGAATAAGATAATTAAAATAAATAAATCAACCAATCAATCAATCAAGAAGAAGTGAGATTGTGGAATGTCATTTGTACAGAGTACAAAATTCGATAACTGAAAAGATATGCAGAACAAGTACCTGTACTCGTCACTGACACCGTAGGCAAACACTATGTCTCGAAACTCTTTTAATACAGCCACTGCACATGAGTTCATAAGATTGAGAGCTCGCTCATCATTGGGCTTAATAAATTCATGAACTTCAGAAAACCTACAAAAGCAAACAAGACTAATTTTTGTTTACAGCATGTCTGATAAGGAATCAAGCAATAAATTCCATATCTCAATTCAAATAAAACCAACAAAAAATAATGGATTTCCTATTGTTTTTGTAGGAGATAAAGAATGATTATTCTGATTGCCAATTACTCTTGAAAACAGCGATAAATATATACAAGAGGAGAGAACCTTTGACTAATCCTAGATTGAAACTAAATAAGGAAACAATCTCACTAAACTAGGAAAAAAAATAAAACTAGAATCTGGTATTATTTAACCAGATTCTTCTCCTAATTTATTTACAAGATATCAAGGATTATTCCTAAGAATTCTCCTTAATTGATTCAGGAATTCAACACTCCCCCTCAAGCTGAGTTGTTAACGTAAAGAAGAAAGAGAAAAGGAATAATAATTCTCATTATCTTTTTTGAAGTATTGGTACACCAATATATAATCTATTCTAGGAGGCAAAAAAAAATAGGAAACTAATCTAATCAAATCAGAGGAAAAAGTCTAATGCTAATATCCCATAATTTTAGGGATTACAATAACTTTCCTAACCAAATATATACATGTTGATCTGTTTTCTAATAATTCGGCTACAACAGCTGTACAATTCAACACTCCCCCCCAAGCTGGGAAGTAGATATCTTCCATTCCCAGCTTGAAAGTAATTTCATGAAAAATTGAACTGTTGAGTCCCTTGGTTAAAACATCTGCTAATTGACTCCCTGAAGACACATATGACATGCAGATCAAACCTTCTTCCAGCTTCTCTTTGATGAAGTATCTGTCAATCTCGATATGTTTCGTCCTGTCATGTTGTACTGGGTTATGAGCGATGTTTATCGCTGACTTATTGTCACAGTACAACCTCATAGGACCTTCCCACTTGATTCTCAAATCATCCATAACGATTTTTAGCCACAATAGTTCACATACTCCTTATGCCATCACTTTGAACTCATATTCAGCACTAGATCTAGCCACCACATTCTGCTTTTTACTTCTCCATGTTACCAAATTTCCTCCAAGAAATGTACAATAACCAAATGTTGATCTCCTGTCCACTGATGAACCTGCATAATATGCGTCTGTGTAAGGTTCCAACCTAAGCTCATTATTCTTCTTGAATAGAACTCCTTTTCCTAGACAGCCTTTTAAGTAGTGAAGTACGCGGTAAGCAGCTTGTAGGTGTGTCTCTCTAGGATCATGCATGAACTGACTGATCACGCTTACAAAGTAAGCTATGTCAGGTTGAGTATGAGCTAGATAAATGAGTTGTCCTACCAATCTTTGATACATCTCCCTATCAACAACTGGTTCTTCCTTTGCTTTCCCCAATTTCTGATTTGGCTTGATAGGTGTAGCTACTGGTTTGCAATCAAGTTTTCTTGTTTCCTTCAAGAGATCTGTCACATATTTTTGTTGTGAGATAAAAATTTCCTGTTTTGAGTATGAAACTTCAATTCCAAGAAAATACTTTAGCCGCCCAAGCTCTTTTATCTCAAATTCCTTGATCAAGCATTGTTTTAGATTCTGTTTCTCCTTCTCATCATTTCCTGTGATAATGATATCATCAACATATACTAGGAGAATTGTCACTCCCCTTGTGGCCGAGTGTTTGATGAAAAGGGTATGATCTCCTTGGCTTTGTCTGTATCCTATTGCTTTCATTACTGTAGCAAATCTTCCAAACCAAGCCCTTGGTGATTGCTTTAGTCCATATAGAGCCTTCTTCAATCTACACACTTTGTTGGATGTACCTTCTCCTTCAAAACATGGTGGAATGCTCATGTAAATTTCTTCTTCGAGATCACCATGCAAGAAAGCATTCTTCACATCATACTGCTGAAGTTGCCAATTAAAATGAGCAGCCAGAGATAACAAGACCCTTACAGTATTCATTTTTGCCACAAGAGCAAATGTCTCTTGATAATCAACTCTATAACCTTTAGCAACCAGTCTTGCTTTATATCTTTCAAGGGAACCATCGACCTTGAATTTCAAAGCAAAAACCCATTTGCAACCCACTAGATTTTTCCTTATGGCTTATCAACTATCTCCCATGTTCTGTTCTTTTCCAATGCATCCATTTCTTCCCTCGTAGCATTCCTCCATTCCCTTTTTGACAATGCCTCAGATAAAGTGTTTGGAACAGAAATAGTGTTTAGACTCACAATTAAATTTTTATGAAGTGGTGAAAAACGGTTTAAGTGACACGTAGTTGGACAATGGATATAAAGGTCTCTTTGTGCATTCTCTAGTGCCTTTTCTAACAACAATGGGAAGATCAAGATCCTTTTGTGGTGTTTCAACAGATTGTGTATGCAAAGGTGGATCAAGACTTACCACATCTTCATTAGCAAGGCTCGGGGTGGCATCTTGGACTTGTGTCAGGTCTGGAACAGCTATTTTTCTCGAGTACACCTGAGGAAATCTAAAAGTCATAAACACGGACAGATGCTGGAGTGGTGAGCGTGTGGACAGGAGTATGAACAACTACTGGAGAGGACACATAATCTAGTTCTGAAGTGGACACAATTTGTGGAACTGGAACAGACTCAGTAAATGGTGGCTCGGTAGATGAAGCCACGGGTAATTCAAGACCAAAATCACAGTCTTTATATTCCATGGATAAAAACACCCCCTGAAGATAAGACTGTGAAAAGTATGGTTTGTTTTCAGCAAAGGTGACATCTGCAGATATATAAAACTTTCTAGAAGGAGGATGATAACACTTGTACCCTTTTTGTGTGGCTGAATAACCAAGAAACGCACATTTGATTGCCCTGGGATCTAATTTCCCTCTATTTGGACTATGAACATGGACAAAGGATGTACAACCAAAGACTCTAGGAATGAGACCATTTGATGTCCTGACATGTGGGTAGAATTTAGCAAGAGTTTCTATGGGAGTTTTGTAATCTAGTGTCCGGGAGGGTAGTCTATTAATCATATATGTGGCAATAAGAATAGCTTCTCTCCAATAAGATTTAGGAACATTCCCTTGAAACAACATTGCCCAAGTGGTATTAAGTAAATGACTATTTTTTCTTTCAGCCACCCCATTTTGTTGTGATGTACTTACACATAAGGATTCATGAATAATGCCTTCTTTTTGGAAGTAGGGTGTTAGGATTTGGTTGAAGTAATCCCTTGCGTTGTCAGACCTAAAACATTTAATTTTGACCCCAAATTGATTTTGAATCATGGAGTGGAAGGTAGGGACAACACTACTTACATCAGATTTTTGTTTGATCAAAAATATCCATGTAACCCTAATACAATCATCAATCAAGGAAACAAACCATCGAGACCCCAAAATATTTGGAATAGTGGACGGTCCTCAAATGTCACTATGAATCAATTCAAAAGGATGAGAACTTCTTTTATTACTAATAGGAAAGGATACAAGAGTATGCTTTGTAAGTTCACAAACATCACAATGAAAATCTGTAATATCCAGTCATTTAAACAAAGAGGGATACATAATATTCAAGACTCTAAAAGATGGATGACCAAGACGAAAGTGATGAAGCCAAATGACATTTTTATTCGAAGAACTAAGAAATGACGCGAACAAATTATTCATGACTCTTTTTGAAGTACTCGGTGTTTCAAGATAGTAGAGCCCATTCCTTTCCTTAGTAAGTCCACTCTTCCTCCCCAAACCGCGTTCCTGAAAAACACGGTAAGAAGGATGGAAAATTGCATAACATTTTAGATCTTTTGTGAGCTTTTGAATTAAAACAAGGTTTGCTGACAATTTTGGTACATGAAGGACATCTTTGAGAATGAGGGTAGGTGTGCAACTGTAATAAGAGAACTGTTTGCTACAGTGATTTTCCTACTACTAGGACATGGAGCATAAGTGCTGAAATACTGTGAAGTGTGAGTCATGTGATCTGTGGCCCTAGAGTCAATTATCCAAGAGTTTGTCAAACACTTTTCTGAGACATGTAATCCAAAAGGAAGTGAAGACTTACCTGAGAGTGCCAATGAACATGCACCAAAAGGCTTCTCGAGAGATCCTATCAGGTCTCTGAGTTTCTTAGAGGACGTTTGGTTTATGTATTCAGAATCATGATTCAGAATCATTCTCGTTTTACGTGTATTTTTTGTGAGAGAAAATACTGTAGACAACCATGAATCATGATTCAGAATCAGGGACGAATATAGGAAATAAACATCTCATTAATCTCTTCACTGTTGAGTCCTCCTTTCTCCTGTTTTTCATCATGGCTAGTTTGTTCTGTCAGATGTGCCTAAGATTGAGACCTCTGTTGGCCTCCACAATTTCCCCATTCTCGGCTTGGTGGTTTACATTCAATTTGCAGCAACTCTCCTTGGTATGCCTTGGTTTTTTACAGTAGGTGCACCATAAATTGTCTTTGTTGTCTCTCCACTAATTGTTTTTGTTCTCTCCCTGAAAGCCCAGACAGGTCTACTTTCCCCCTTTCTAGCATCTGAGGTTGTTCACTTTTTGTGATCAAGGCCGAATTCTCTAGAGTTTGAGGTTCAAGCATTATACCCCTTCAACTTCTTCTCCCCGAATTAGAGAGATTGCCTCTTCTAATGATGGTGTTTCCTCCCTGCCGAGAATCTGAATTCTAACTTGATCAAATTCAAGATTAAGGCCAGCCAAAAAGTCATACACACGATCCCTTTCAATGAAATTCTTCAAAACAGCAGCATCAACTGGCCATTTCATCTCAATGACCCTATAGTGATCAAGTTCTTGCCACAAGTTTTGTAGCAAATTTGCATACTCAGTTACTAATTTATTCCCTTGTTTGGTCGCACTCACCTTAACCTTTATCTCGTACACTTGGGTAGCATCACGCGCCTTTGAATAAGTCCGCCGAATTGAGTCCCAAATAGCTTTTGCAGAAGTCAAAAACATGCAGGTGTCACTGATTTCAGGATTCATGGAATCCCACAACCATGACATGACCATTGAGTCTGCTTCATCCCATGCATCAAAACCTT